CGCCGCCGCCCCCTCCACACCCCCGCTGGCCTCAGGAACAGCCAGGGCCCCAGCTCTGCGTTGCCCACCCGCCCGCCCGCCGGGCGGCTACCTTGGTCAGGACGTAGTAGCAGTCCCCGTGGAAGGTGAACTTTTTCCCGTCGAAGGTGGAGATGTGAGCGCCGCCCTCCAGCGCGCAGGTCCCCGGGCAGAGCAGGTCTTTGCACACCCAGCGGCCGGCGTGGCAGAGGCTGCCGGGCAGCGGGGAGCGGGTTGGGGCTCTGTGGCACCCTGCCTGGCACCCGCCCGCCCCGCCCCCACCCCCGCGCCCCGAGACTCACCACTGCTCACACTCATTGCTGACCTCCTGACCCGGCGTGTACAGACGCCCGTGCAGCCGGCAGTGGCACTGGCTCACGGGGACGCAGCCACCGCCCGTGATGTCATCGTACACGGTGCCTGGGGCAGACGGGAGCGGGGCGTCGGCCCGGGACCCCAGGAAGTGCCGCCCTCCGACTCACTGCACCGCCTCCCCCACCTGTGCCCCACCTGGTACAGAGAGTCCCAGACCCTCGTTGGGGGCCCAGAGCCCCTGAGTGGGGACCCTCCAGAACCACACCTTCAGGGCAGAAGCAGCCGTCCATGGGGTGCTCCTCACACAGGCTGCTGACCTCCAGGTGTGAGCAGGTGTCCATGCAGGGGGAGCCGCTCTCCAGGTAAATCATGTTCCCAGGGCAGCTCTTGGCTGGAAGCAAAGGCAGCCGTGAGTCTGCGGTTCGAGGAGGACGGGGCCCAGCGGCGGGGCCCCGCCAGGGCCTGCCTGGTTTCTGGGCACAGACACGGCCCCGGGCTCCACCCCAGAGCCCCCCCCCGGGGGTCCCGGCTGCTCACAGCAGAGTATCTGGGCCCCGGCCCCGGGCTCCACCCCAGAGCCCCCCCCCCGGGGGTCCCGGCTGCTCACGGCAGAGCGACTCTGTCCTCCAGCTCCCCGGCTGGCCCCCGGCGTGGGAGCACTGGCGGGAGAACTCGGCCACGGTGCTGCACTCGCAGGCGCCCCCTGGTGGGCACTGGCAGCGGTCCTGCATGCAGGCGCGCACGTACAGCTCCACCGGCACCCGGGCCTGGCAGTCCTCGAAGGCCGCTGCGGTCAGAAGCCTCTCGCACTCCGCTCGCTGGACAGAGGGGGGGATGCGATGCGGCCAGCTGCTCTCCCTCCATCTCCTGCCCCTCGCTTCGCCTCTGGGGTCCCACCCAAAGCCAGCAGAGGGGGGCCCACTGGGAGCTGGGGGGCCCAGCCTGCCACTCACATGCTCAGAGCAGGACTCGGGCGCTGGCTCCTCCACCGGGTCCTCACAGGGCACCCCTGGCCTGTTGATCTTCTGCATGTTCCCAAACTCCAGGGCGCTGAAGCGTATGCCTGGTGGGCAGGGGTCCGGTCAGCGGAGGACGGGTCAGCGTGAGCAGGGGCCCCGGCCCGGCCCCCACCTCTGGCTGCCCAGCCCAGAGCCCACCTTCGGAGAGGAACTCTGAGTAGGTCTGCAGGCCATTGTAGTCCCCGCAGAGGCCGCAGGTGTGGTTCTGGAACCTGCTGTCCAGCTCCAGCTGTTAGGGAAAAGGAGCGAGCATGTGGCGCCCGGGTCCCAGGCTGCCACCCAAGCCTCCAGCCTGGCCAGATCCTTAAGCAGGGCGGTGGAGGGGAGGCCCCGGGCAGCCACCACGTGGGCCCCGTGGGGCAGCGGCTGCAGACAGCCTGTGCCCTGCAGCCCTGAGGACCTCTCGAGGCAGGGGCTGAGGGCCCAGGACTAGCGGCTACCAGTAGCCTTCCCACAGCCCAGTGAGGGCCCGCCCAGGTCCTCTGCCCTCTGGCCTGACAGGGGAGCCTGCCGCCCCCAGCCTGGGGACGCCGGTGCCCACCATGACAGCATCCTCGCGGTTCCACATCAGGGTCAGGCCAGCCCGGGAGTAGACCTTGGTGTAGGCGTCGTTCTTCTCGATGAGCAGCCCGGAGCTGTAGTGTGGGGTGCTGACCCTGGAGGGGCACCAGGGTCACTCGCCAGCTCTGGGCGCTGAGGACAGCCCCGCCCCCCCAGGAAGCACCCAGCCCCAAGGGAGGGAGGGGGCGGGACCCCAGCCCCTCCAGGCTCTGGGCGCTGAGGACAGCCCTCCCCCGCCTCTGTCCCAGGTGGGCCACGCATCCCTGACCGGGCTGTGCCTGGGGGGCACTGCCTCACCCCAGCTCAAGCCCCGCCCCCAGCCCCGCTGCCCTCCCCACCTGCCCCGTCCAGGCAGGCCAGCGGGGCAGGGGAGTGAAGATGGAGCCGTGCAGGAAACAGCTCCGTGAAGCAGGGAGAGGGCAACTCCCACGGCAGGACGGAAATCCACCTGAGACGCCCATTGTTCCCCGCACAAAGCAGGAACAATAGTGTCAGCCTTCTGCAACCCGAGCCTGGGCTCAGGCCCCCCCCCCCAGCCTGGGACCGGGCTCTGGTGGTCACCATCCACCCCCCCCCAGCCTGGGACCAGACTCTGGTGGTCACTAACCCCCCAGCCTAGAACCCAGCTCTGGTGGTCACTAACCCCCCAGCCTGGGACCGGGCTGTGGTGGTCACTACCCCCTCTTCCAGAGAAGCCCACAGGAAAAGCAAGACGCCTTGTTTGTGAAGGGGATTCATCCGTGTTTGTTGAATGAATCTGTGACCTGAGCTCAGACCTCAAAGCCACATGCCAGGCAGAAAGAGTCTCATAGAGGGTGTGGGGAGCAGGCCTCCATAGCCAAGCAAATACCACCATCCTTACGAGAAGAGGAGGGGACACTGCCAGCCCCCAGGACAGCACGGGGGACACTGCCAGCCCCCAGGACAGCACGGGGACACTGCCACTAACCCCAAGATAGCACGGGGGACACTGCCACCACCCCCAAGACAGCACGGGGGACACTGCCAGTCCCCAGGGGACACTGCCACCTCACTCACATGGCTCCGTTCACCACGGCCAGCTGGTGTGTGAGGTAGATGGCGTCGTCCTTGATGGTGAGCAGGATGGACTCCACCCGGGGCTGGGTTCCGTCGGTGCCCGCGCCCCGCCGCAGGTGCACGGCAAACTCCTTGTAGGCGTCCCGGCAGTCGGAGGCAAAGTTGTAGTCGCAGAGGCCGGGGAAGCGGAAGACATCGCCGTCGAAGGTCTTGTAGTGGAAGGCGCCCCAGGTGCTGCAGACGTTGTGGCCGTGGTTCCGGGGCCGGCCTTCGGATGGAGCAGCGGGAACACGTGAGCCGGGCCCGCCCGGTCCCCTGCCCGAGCTGTGCGGCGGCCCCGGCCCCGTGTCACCCCGTGCGGACCCCCAACACTGCCACTCCAGACGCCCCTCCCACCGCCCACCCACACACGAGGGCTGGGCCCTCCTGAGCCGCCACGGGAGCGAGACCCGGGGCCGGGGCCCTGAGCCCGCCCTGACAGGACAGGGGCGGCTTGGCCTTTCCGCCCCAACCCAGCTCCCTGCCCTTGCCCCCGACTCCCCCTGCAGCCCCCCCCCCCG